TGAATTGAATCATGAGAAGACATCAGAAACACCCAAACTGAGGAATGTTCAACAAATAACTGACTAGTACACCTCAAAAGTGTCAAGATCATGAACGAAAAAGAAAGCCTGAACAACTGGCCCAGACTGAAGGAGCCACGATGACTAAGGACAACATATGATCGTGGACCAGAAAAAGGACATTAGTGGGGCAATGGATAAAATTTGAATAAGGTCTCTAAATTAGATAATAGTAATGTATCACAGTTAATTTCTTACTTTGCATAATAATATTCTTATCATTATATTAAATGATAATATTTAGAAGGCTTAAATATGTGCAAAGTCTATGTAATATATTTGCAATTTTTTTGTAAGTTTCAGATTATTTTAAGTTACATTTTTTAACATTGGAAATTCAAAAAGGCTTGGCACCTATAGCTCAGTGACTAGGGCGCCAGCCACATACAGGGGGTCTGAAGGGTTCAAGCCCAGCCCAGGCCTGCCAAACAAAAATGGGAACTTCAACAAAAAATAGCCGGGTGTTGTGGCGGGCACCTGTAGTCCCAGCTACTTGGGAAGCAGAGGCAAGAGAATCGCTTCAGCCCAGGAGTTGGAGGTTGGTGTGAGCTGTGATGCTATGGCACTCTACCCAGGATGACATAGTGACACTGTCTCAAAATGAATGAATAAATAAATAAATAAATAGTTTAAAAAGTCTATTAAGAGAGCTCACGGAATCCTCAGGTAGATAATGAAGAAAATTCAAACTATCTTGGGAAGTTCCGGCTGGCAAAGCCCCCTGGCCACTGCTGCTGGGCATCACAGTCAGCATCTCTGTCACCTGTGCCCCGGATAGCCAGTTGCCTCTGCTGCCACCTTGATCATAAAGCTCCACATTGGACACTTCCTCTTGTGACTTTCTTCTGAGTCCAGGTGCCCCACAGGGGCAGAACTTAGATCACATGAATGTGCCTGGTGTCAGCTGCAAGGAAAGCTGAGAAATCAAACTTACGGTGTCTACTTCAGTGAGGTTTAATGTAGGTGTAATGTAGGAAATTAAAAATTGGAGGGGGGCTGTTCAAAAGATGCCCGACTCATCCTGTGGCTTGCCTTTTTAGCTTCTTGCTCATGTCTTTTGACAAATCTTAATTATTACTCAATTATTAATATCCGAAATGCTAGTTGCTAATTCTTTGTCAGTTACATGTGCTGCCAGCATCCTCTCCAGGTCAGTGGCTTATCTTTTTTTTTTTTTTTTTTTTTTTAAATGAGGACTTGTGGAAACAAAACTTGTTCATTTTCAGTTTGAATAGATTCCATATTATCAATCCTTTTTTTTTTTGTAGTTTATACATTTGGGTTTTATTTATTTATTTTTAATTTTATCATCATTATTATTATTTTTGAGACAGAGTCTCACTTTGTTGCCCTTGGTAGTGGGCCATGGCGTCATAGCTCACAGCTACCTCAAACTCTTGGACTTAAGCAATTCACTTGCCTCAGCCTCCCAAGTAGCTGGGACTATAGGCACCTGCCACAATGCCCAGCTATTTGTAGAGATGGGGTCTTGCTCTGGTTCAGGCTGGTCTTTAACCTGTGAGCTCAAGCAATCCAACTGCCTTGGCTGCCCAGAGAACAAGGATTACAGGCATGAGCAGGTGAGCCACTACACCTGGCCACCAGTGCCTTTTTTTTTATAAAATGTCTTTTTTTTCCTTTGGGTAAATACTTAGTAGAGTGATTGTAGGATCAAATGGTAGGTCTACTTTTAATTCATTGAGGAATCTCCATACCAATTTTGGGTTTTATTTAAGGAATCCTTCTTCAGCCTGTGGACAAAAATTTTTATAATATAATTTTATAATATATATCACGTATGTAGCCCAGTGTGTGTGTGTGTGTGTTTGTATCTGTAATATTTTAAGCTTTAAAAGATTTGCTTGTCACATTTAAGTATTTTATTTTATTATTTCTTTTTAATTTTGAGGGAGAGTTTCATTATGTTGCCCCTGGTAGAGCGCTGTGGCGTCACAGCTCACAGCAACCTCAAACTCTTGGGCTTAAGCAATTGTCTTGCCTCACCCTCCCAAGTAGCTAGGACTACCAGTGCCTGCCACAATGCCCAGCTATTTTTCTTTTCTTTTTATTTTTCATTAAATGATTTCTGTGTACATTAATGCAATCATGGGGTACAGTGTGGTGTTTTCATATACAAATTGAAATATTTTCATCAAACTGGTTAACATAGCCTTTATGTTATTTTCTTATTGTGTTAAGACATTTATATTCTACTTTTAGAAAGATTCACTTGTATCCTTGTAAGATAAACCATAGAGGTGATCCCTCTAATCATCCTCCCTCCACCCCTCTACCTTCTCCCCTTCCCTCCCCCCCATATTCTTAGGCTATAATTAGGTTATAGCCTTCATATGAAAGCTATAAATTCGTTTCATAATAGGGCTGTGTACATTGGATACTTTTTCTTCCATTCTTGAGATACTTTGGTAAGAAGAACATTTTGCAGCTCCATCCATGTAAACATGAAGGAGATAAAGTCTCCATCTTTCTTTATGGCTGCATAGTATTCCATGGTGTACATGTACCAGAGTTTATTGATCCATTTGTGGATCGATGGGCACTTGTGCTTCTTCCATGACCCGGCTATTTTTCTATTGCACTTGTCATTCTTCTTTAGCAGGCCTGGTTTGGGTTAGAACCCTACAGCCTCAGTGTAGGTGCCCTGGTGCCCTAACCACTGAGCCACATATTTAGGTCTTTTAGACATGTACAATTTTATTCTTTATGTATGGTAGGGTAGAGATCTAATTCAACATTTTTTATATGGATACTTTTTTCTTTTTCTTTTTTTTTTTTTTGAGACAAAGTCTTACGATGCCACCCTGGGTAGAGTGCCATGGCGTCACAGCAACCTCCAACTTTTGGGCTTAAGCAAATCTCTTGCCTCAGCCTTCCCAGTAGCTGGGATTACAGGCACTCACCACAATGCCTGGCTAGCTTTTTTTGTTGCAGTTGCTTAATTGGCCCTGGCCGGGTTGGAACCCAGTACTGGGGTGGCACGTGGCCAGTGCTGTAACCACTGTACTACAGGCACCGAAGCGGATACTTTTTTCTTTTGAAGAGATAAGATCTCACTCTGTCACCCAGGCTACAGTGTAGTGGCATCATCATAGGTCACAGCAAGCTCAAACTCCAGGGCTCAAGTGGTCCTCTTACTCCTGAGCAGCTGGTACTACAGGTGTGCACAACCATGCCTGGGGAATTGTTTGATTTTCAGTAGAGACTGGGTCTTAGTCATTCTCAGGCTGGTCTGCAACTCCTGAGATCCAGGGATCTGCTCACATCGCTTCCCAAAGTGCTGGGATTATGGGCATGACCTCCCCTGGAATACTGGGGTACCACTGTGTTGATCTGAGCATGGGTACGCTGTGGACACCAAGGGAGGGCTGGTCCGTGTGTCCCCAAGGCTGGCATCGGTGGGCCAGTGCCCAGCACCTCAGGCCTGCCGTGGTAAGGGAAGCGTGGGTTGGCGGTTCTGCCTGGATTTCTCAGCATTCCTGCAGGCTGTAGGTGTTGGCAGCAGGGGGCACTGAGGAGTTCTCATTGGGAGCTGATTGGTGACAGTCACCAGCCTTGGGAGAAGGGGTAGCAGACCCGGTAAACACAGGGCACCTCTCCGTCCTCAGAGGCCTTCCCGGACCCTGAAGCCTGGCCATGGGCCCTGGGATAGAGCCTCCCCCGACAGTGCCTTGGCGGCCCTAGACAGCCTTTCCAGGACATGGCCAATGCACCCCCAGCCTTCAGGATCTGCCACCCTGATGAGCCTGACCCCCTCGGACTGGCGGCCAGACCCTGCACCAGCACTGAGATGGTGAAAGAGTTGCTCAAGGCTCAGATGATCATCAGCGTGTTGCAGCAACAAGCTGTTTGGGGTAAGGGTCTCAGGTCCAGGTGTACGTCTTTGGCTCCCTGGGTGTGTTGCCTGCTGAGGACTGAGCTCCGAGCTTTCAGGGTCTTCCCGACCAGAACCACTTTACCCTGACCCATCAGGCAGTTTCTCAACCTCCACCACACACACACCCCGTTGCTCCCTCCCAGCCTCCCCGGCCTCCAGCGTCTATTACTCCACACTCTGTGTCCCCCGGGGCACATGATTTCACTCCCACTGGTAGGTGAGGAGGTACCTTATCTGTCTCTGTGTGTCTGCGTGCTTTCCTTTAAGAGAAGGGCCTCCAGTTCCATCCATAATGGAAAACACAGGAAACCATTCTTCCTGTTTTTGTTTTTGTGTTTGTTTGTTATATTCTGTACGGACTAACATATTCGGAACCCGTTGATCCAATACTGCGAACCAACGCAATACCAAGGATATCCTCCCAAAGCAAATTCATGAGCAGAGACTTCATGTCTGTGGGAAACCGCCTACCCCCAGAAACGGAGACCCCAAACCTGCTATTCCTCTCTACCCACGGGCCAATATCAGGAATCAGGGACAGCTCTAAGCCACTTCAGGAATTTCCCTGGACCTCTTCATCTGCTTCTATTCTGGTCTTTCCTAGACTTTCTCTACTCACCTTGAGATCTTCTCCCCCTGCAAGCCGACTCTGACCCTGGGTCTTTGAACTTGACATTTCTATATGATCTCCACCGCAGCCTTTCACTCTTAGATCTCCCCCATCCCTCTCATCTTTCAGGAACTCTTTCACTCTTTTTTTGTTTTTTTTGTCTGCACACACAGATGTTTATTGTTTTCCCAGCTCCCGGGTGTTAAAGATGCAGGGTGAGGGGGGCTTGGAGGCCCAGAGGAGGCTCCGGTCTAATTCTTCTAGTCGTAGGTCCCTTGGGACCCCTCCCATAGCCTGAGTTATCAGTGGTGGTGTCCCTTCCTGCAGTGTCTTTGCCCTTGCCACTGTCGTCCAAGGGCTCCTGGTGGCTGCCGGTGTACTTGCTGGTGTTGGTGAGACGATCCACGGCACCCACCCTTGAGGCTTGGTAGAAGCCAAGGAATGGATTTCAGCCCGGTTCCTCCTCCTCCCCCAAGATGGCCCTGAGATCCATAGAACAAGTCCCCGCGGTTCTATGTCTTCCTCGGATCCCGGGCTGCTTCTCTTAGGGCCCAGAGCCAGCTGTGTGGGCAGGCGCTCTAGCCAGAGCCATCCAAACCCAAGGGGAGGGAGTACAGGGCACAGAGAGACGGTGGATTTTTCTTTCTCCAGTGGACTTATTCTGACCAGGCTGCAGTGACAGGACCTCATTCAGTGACCACTGGTGGTGGCTGGATTCTTGCCCTCCATGAGTTGATAAATGTCCTGTAGGCCTTGGTCTGGGCTCTTTTCCTTGAAGCGCTTCTGGCTCAGTTCCTTCATTGCTTCCGTGAACTGCTGAAACGTGATGGTTCCGGCATCCTTGGCCTTGACTTTGTTGAACACAGTGTCCACATCCGCAGAGGTGACCGTCTTGCCATCCGTGATACCACAGTCCTGGCATAGCTTGGAGAAGTTCTTTTTGTTTATTTCAGCGCCACTGCTAGAGGAGTCTCCGAAGACAGCGAACCGCTGGAATGTTTTCTCTGCTTCGGATGCCATGGTCAGCTAGAGGTAGGGGTGGGCAGTGGGGAGGAGGAGTGTCAGGAGGGAGGGGGGAGGGGAAGGGAGGATGGACGAGGAATGAGGATGAAGGCGAAGATTAAATCAGTGGGCAAGAGAAACAAATCCCCTTGTCCCTGCTGCCCCCTCCCCCTGTACCTCTCACCCCCATGCCGCCTGCCACAGCCACAACCTGAGCCTCCCCTTCCCAGCACTGGGAATGCCAGGTGGATCCCAGGTCCTGACTCATCTCCCATTCCCCCACCACTTTTGTGTACCTAAGAGTGGCGGGATGGTCTCTGAGCCTTCCTCCCCTTCCTGTGTGTGCAGATATGTGCAGGAGGCAGCTGGCTGGGGAGACTGGGTAGCAGTAAGGAGTCAGAGGGGAGGCCAGGCAACCTTCGTTGAAATAACTTAGAGGACCTGGAAAAATAGAGTTGGACCCCCACTTAGGTTAATTAAATTGGTAATTTATTTTACCTGCTACAGGGGCTGCTGCTCCGAGAGACAGTCAGCACCTGGTGAGAGTGTGAGTTACCTTTTACAGGCTTTGTGTAAGCATATTACAGAAGTGAAACGTGGCTGGTTAAGGGGGGTTACAACTCAGGTAGTCATAGATACAGCAATGGAACAATAATCAATACAGTTTCAGTTGACAATGGATACATTTCATATCACAATGGTTATGGTTATACAACAGAAATTAATCAAGTCTCAGTGAGTTTTCCACCATTGTTCATCTACTGAGAACTTGGGGGTTTTGTGAAACTTGGGACTTTTTTCCCTTGTACCTGAAGCTTGTTCTTGGCAACCCTAGGGGGAAGAAGGGGGCCTGGGAACATGGCTTGGAAGCATGTTCTCGGCCACCCTGGGGGGACGAGGGACTTGCCCTGTTCTTGGAGTTGACTCTGGGGGGAGAAGGGAGGAGGAGGGAAATGGGCTGGAGAGAGCGGGGGAATAGGTGAGGGTGGTGGTGGGGGGAACAGGTGAGGGCTGGGGAACAGGAGTGGGCAGGGGAAAGAGAGCTGGGTTACAACACTGTGACCTCAGCAATGCTTATATGACATCGTTCCAAGTCTTAGCTTCAGCCCCTGCCTTGGGAGGAGGGCTTAGGGTCTCCCTACCTTGCCTAGTGAATTGAAGCAGCTGCCAACCTTCTGACCATTTCAGATGACCAAGCTCCTTAAATCCCCCCTCCCTGACTTAGCCCACCTAAAGCAACTTCAATGTCATTGATTGTGCTTTGAACTTCCTTCCAAAAAAAATAAATTCATGATCTTTAAAATTTTTTGAGGCATACCAGTTGAAAATCACTGCTCTAGGGGGAATCAGGGCCTGATGGTAGCAGCCAGGCTCAGTGACAGCGTGAAGGCCATTCCCAGGCCATGCCCTCCACCATGCTCCACGCTCCCTTCCACCAGCCATAAACAAAGTGCTCAGGTCGAGTCATTGAAGAACTGTTAATCAATTCCCTCTACCCTTGTTTCACTTGAGCCATGATAGCTGTAAAATCACTATTTTCACGTTGACATTAATTTAAGGTATCATAATGAAAAAATGTCATTTATGTTACACTCAAACAGTCTAGCGCCACCAGGAGTGTGGACCATAGGCACATACATATGGGGGGAGGAGGAGGAATTGAGTGGGATTTCAGGAAGGAGGCGGTGCTCAGTGCGCATGCTCCCCCCACTCAGCACTGGCAACCAGCCCTGGTTCCTTGACTTTATCCGTGAGAACTGAGCTTGGGAGGTTGAACAAGTTGCTCCAAGATACTCAGATGAAAATGGGAGCACTCAGGTTGTGCACAGCCTGGTTTCAGCTTCTCCCCCTTGCCACCAGCTCTGCAGGCGGGAAACGCCATGGGAGGACAGGTGCTGTGGAGACTGAGCAATAAAATTATCCCTTCAATGTTTCCTCAACCAAGTTCAATAACAACTCAGTCTACAGTATCTATTGACCTTTAGATTTTGTTCTGACAATGGATTCAGGCCGGGCGTGGTGGCTTATGCCGGTAATCCTATCACTCTGGGAGGCCGAGGCAGATGGATGGCCTGAGCTCGGTTCAAGACCAGCCTAAGCCAAAGCAAGACCCCAGTCTCTAAAAGTAGCCAGGTGTTGTGGCAGGTGCCTGTAGTCCCAGCTACTCTGGAGGCTGAGGCAAGAGGCTTGCTTGAGCCCAAGAGTTTGAGGTTGTTGTGAGCTGTGAAACCAGCACTCTACTGGGATGAGAAAGTGAGACTCTGTCTCAAAAAAAAAATAAATCAATTAAGAAAAACTTAATTACTGTATTAAAAATATGAGTCTTTATTTTTCTGATTCATAGGAGATGCCAGCATACATCTTTCAGTACTAGGAGCAATGTTTGAAAATGCCAGTTCCCTCAATGCACACATTGTAACTCTGGGTATGACATTTTTTAAATCTGCTAACTAACAGGTCAATATAACACCTGCAGTATGTTATTTCACACGTAACTTATATTTTCTTGATAACTGAGATATTTTTCAAAAAAATTTGTTTTGAGACAGAGTCTCACTCTGCTGCCCCAGGGTAGAGTGCAGTGGCCTCATAATAGCTCACAGCAACCTCAAACTCCTGGGCTCAAGTGATCCCTCTGTCTCAGCCTCCCCAGTAGCTGGGACTATAGGCGTGTATCACCACACCTGGCTAATTATTCTACCTTTTCTAGATATGGTGTCTTGCTCTGGCTCAGGCTGGTCTCCAACTACAGGCCTCAAGCAATCCACCTCCTTGGCCTCCCGGAGTGCTAGGATTACAGGTGTGAGACACCTGTGAGTCCAGCCAACATTCATATTTTATATAATAAATATATTATATGCATTATATATATGAGAAATATATTAACTCTTTGTACATGTATATCACAGTTGCTGAAAAATGTGTTTCCTATCTCAGTTTATGGTCTACAACTTCCAGTATAAAAACTATAAGGCCAAGCATGGTGGCTCATGTCTGTCATCCCAGCGCCCTGGGAAGCCAAGGCGGGTGGATTGCTGGAGCTCACCAGTTTGAGACCAGCCTGAGCCAGAGCAAGATCCTGTCTCTACGGAAGAGCCAGGCATTGTGGTATATACATGTCTGTAGTCCCAGCTACTCCAGAGGCTGAGGCAGGAGAGTGCTTGAGCACAGCAGTTTGAGGCTGCAGTGAGCTATGATGACATGACTGCACTCCTGCCTAGGAGATAGAGAGTGCTCCTGTCTCAAAAAAAAAAAAAATCATGGGAGAAGAAGCTATATTAAGTAATACGACAGTATGTAGTTTGGGCCCCAACAGTATTAAACAAATACTGTAGGTCTCTCTCATCTTTTCTCCTTCACGGAGAAAGACCTACTTCCAGGTCTCTTTGGAAGTGCTCTAAACGTTCTCTTTGTTCTTTCTAAATAAAATCTCTGTATGGCTCGGTGCCTAGGTAGCTCAGCAGGTAGGGCACCAGTCACGTATATGGGAGCTGGCAGGTTCAAATCTAGCCCAGGACTACCAAACAACAATGACAACTACAGAAAAAAAAAAATAGCCGGTTACTGTGGTGGGCGCCTGTGGGCCCAGCTACTTGGGAGGGTGAGGCAAGAGAATCAGCTAAGCCTAGGAGTTGGAGCTTGCTGTGAGCTGTGATGCCACAGCCCTCTACTAAGGGTGATAAGTAAGACTTTGTCTCTACAAAAAAAAAAAATTAATAATAAATAAATAAATAAATAAATAAAGTGATCAATGTTAAAATCACCAGAAAATGGGAAAATTGACAACTTGCGACTCCTGACATAATGGGCTGAGAAGGACACACCTTCATTTCTGTGGCTTTCTTGCAGAAATGCAGAACCTGAATTGAATCATGAGAAGACATCAGAAACACCCAAATTGAGGAATGTTCAACAAATAACTGACTAGTACCCCTCAAAATTGTCAAGATCATGAAAGAAAAAGACAGACTGAACAACTGGCCCAGACCGAGCGAGCCACAATAACTAAGGAGAACGTGTGATCCTGGACCAGAAAAAGGACATTAGTGGGACAATTGATAAAATTTGAATAAGATCGCTAAATTATGGTCCCAGCTACTTGGGAGGCGGAGGCAGGAGACTCGCTTGAGCCCAGGACTTGGAGGTTGCTGTGAGCTGTAATGCCACGGCACTCTACCCAGGGGGACAGCTTGAGGCTCTGTCTCAAAAAAAAAAAAAAAACCAAACAAAAAAAGATCGTTAAATTAGATAATAGTAATGTATCACGGTTAATTTCTTACTTTTTATGATTGTATTATTATTATATAAAATGTTAATATTTAGAAGGCTTGAATATGTGCAAAGTCTATGTAATATATTTGCCCCTTTTTTGCAAGTTTCAGATTATTTGAAGTTAAAGTTTTTTTTAATTAGAAATTCAAAAAGGCTTGGTACCTATAGCTCAGAGGCTAGGACACCAGCCACATACACAGGGCCTGGCGAGGTCAAACCTAGCCCAGGCCTGCCAAACAAAAATGGGAACTTCAACAAAAAATAGACGGGCGTTGTGGCAGATGCCTGTAGTCCCAGCTACTTGGGAGGCTGACACAAGAGAATAGCTTAAGCCCAAGAGTTTGAGGTTGGTGTGAGCTGTGATGCTAAGGCACTCTACCCAGGATGACATAGTGACACTCTGTCTCAAAATAAATAAATAAATAAACATTTTAAAAAGTCTAATAAGGGAGCTCAAAGAATCCTCAGGTAAATAATAAAGAAAAAAAGAAAATTCAAACTGTCTTCGAGGATTCCCTCCAGCAAAGCCCCATGGCCATTGCTGCTGGGCATGGCAGTCAGAATCTCTGTCACCTGTGCCCCTGATTGCCAGATGCCTCTGCTGCCACCTTGATCATAAAGCTCCACATTGGACACTAACTTCCTCTTGTGACTTTCTTCTGAGCCCAGGTGCCCCACAGGGGCAGAACTTAGATTACATGAATGTGCCTGGTGTCAGCTGCAAGGAAAGCCAAGAAATCAACTTA